CAGTATCTCCAGTTAAGCATGTTTCTTTCCAGCTGAAACTTTGTTTGTGTTGTTATCCTTTCAATGGATTGTTTGCAATAGAAGACTGGACTTTGGGTTTTCTACCTGAAAATATCTTCCTCTCCAGAGATATTTAAGCCTTGTAAAAGGACCTTGCTCCAATGATGGCCTGTGTTTTATCTCCAGTAATGTTCCCATCCTGTTGAGATTAGCCGAGTGTTGGGTTGTGCTATGATGTCTTATCATCTCCAGTTTATCTTGTCTATTTGTTTTGTCAGCACATACATGACATTCATTTATTCATTCACACTTGCATCATGCACGCACAGTTGTATTTGTTGATGTCATTGAGTTCGTATACCTTGGTTGTGTCTATTCAAATAATGTATTTGATCTTTCCAGGTAGAGTGCAAACTTAAGCAGAAAGTGCGCCTTCTTTCTAATTCCCCACTGAGTTAACTCTCGTGGAAGAATCTTGCTTTAGCTTTCCTTTTCCATCTCTGGATAGGATAAATCCCCATTTGAGTTGTTTCCTCATCGGGTGGAGTCTTGTTTGACTGTTTTTCTCTCCAGTTTATCCCTGGATTGAGCTTTGTCTCTTGTGAATGATACCCTGTGGATATCTCTAGGCTATGAAACCTAGATGGAGAGTGAATTTATTTTGCAACGTAAAGACTTGGTCTCCTCAAGAAGGATTTATTCATGGTTCCCCATTGAAGATGAACTTTATTCCCCAGTAGTGTTATCATAACCTTCTTCTGGAATATCGACATGACAACAAGCGACTGACTCTTTATTTGAGCAGTTTGATTATTTCTGATTTCTCTATGACAAATGGCGGTCTCTTCATGAGCAGTTTGTCCATCCCCGATGAAATTATTGGTTCTCACCTCCAGCAATATCTTCACGATATTTTATGGGTATCTTTTTGGGAAACAACAAGCGGCAGTTTCTTCATGAGACAACTTGTGTGTTATTGATACTTTAAAAACAACAAGCGGCGGTCTCTTCATGAGCAACTTGTGTGTTATTGGTAATTTTGAAAAGAAAACAACAAGCGGCGGTCTCTTCATGAGCAACTTGTGTGTTATTGGTAATTTTGAAAAGAAACAGCAAGCGGCAGTCTCTTCATGAGGCAACTTGTGTGTTATTGTCACCTTCGAAAACATCAAGCGGCAGTCTCTTCACGAGGCAACTTGTTATGTTATTAACAACTTTAAAAACAACAAGCGGCGGTCTCTTCATGAGCAACTTGTGTGTTATTGGTAATTTTGAAAAGAAAACAACAAGCGGCGGTCTCTTCATGAGCAACTTGTGTGTTATTGGTAATTTTGAAAAGAAACAGCAAGCGACAGTCTCTTCATGGACAACTTGTATGTTATCAACACTTTTAAGAAACAACAAGCGGCAGTCTCTTCATGGACAACTTGTATGTTATTAACACTTTTAAGAAACAGCAAGCGGCAGTCTCTTCATGGACAACTTGTATGTTATCAACACTTTTAAGAAACAACAAGCGGCAGTTTCTTCACGAAGCAACTTGTATATTATTGACGCCTCAAAAAACGGCAAGTGGCGGTCTCTTCATGAGCAGCTTGTACGTTAGTATTTTTGGAAGACAACAAGTGGCAGCTTATCTATTTGAGCAACTTGTGTGTTATTGTTCCCTTGAAGACAACAAGTAACAACTTATCTATTTGAGCAACTTGTGTGTTATTGTTCCCTTGAAGACAACAAGTGGCAGCTTCTTCATGAGCAACTTGTGGGTTATAAGCAACAAGTGGCGGACTCTTCATGAGTAGCTTGTGTGCTTTAATATTCTTTGAAGATGGCAAGTGGCAGCTCTTCATGAGCAGCTTGTGAGTTATTGACAGCAAGCGGCGGTCTCTTCATGGGCAACTTGTATGTTATTAACAACTTTGAAAGAAAAAACATCAAGCGGCAGTCTCTTCATGGACAACTTGTATGTTATCAACACTTTTTGAAAACGGCAAGTGGCGGTCTCTTCATGAGCAACTTGTACGGAAAGCGGCAGGTGGCAGCTTCTTCATGAGCAGCTTGTACGTTAGTATTTTTGAAAGACAGCAAGTGGCGGTCTCTTCATGAGCAGCTTGTGTGATTTAATATTCTTTGAAGACAGCAAGTGGCGGTCTCTTCATGAGCAGCTTGTATGTTATTGACATCTTTGAAAGGAAGCAAGTGGCAGCCTCTTTATTTGAGCAGATTATGTATCCCCAACAATAATGTCTACTCAGCAAATGGCATCCCTTTCGGAAAAGTCCCGTGGGGAAGTTTGCATTTTACCCTTTTCAAGCGATATCTTGGTTAAAGAAGAAATGTGTTACCGTTCTTGGTAAAATTCAGAAATCAGAGATGTTTATCTCCAGCCACAATGCTGATGTCAATCACTTTGTTTTCCAGCCACAGTGTTGATGTCAATCATTTTGTTTTCCAGCCACGGTGCTGATGTCAATCACTTTGTTTTCCAGCCACGGTGCTGATGTCAATTATTTTCCAGTCTCAGTACTGATGTCCATCATTTCCTTTTCCAGTCGCAGTGCTGATGTAAATCATTTCTTTTTTCCAGTCTTCGTACTGATGTAAATCATCTCTTTTCCAGTCTCAACACTGATGTAAATCATTCAAGAGTCTCTCATTTGAAGTCTATGACTTTGTTTCCCCAGTGGAGTTACAACCTCTTCCTCTGTGGGATTATTGTATAATGTGCTTGGTTTCTCCAGCATAGTCTGTCTCGTATGGCGTCATTCCCCATAAAATTCAGAGCATTACATTCATATCATATCATGAACGTAATCGCGGTATCTTAAGGCCAAAAATTGTGTATTCTATATTTAAGTCCCTTCAATCTCGTCGAAATGAAGATCCCAATCTTCATATCTCCAAATAGAAGAAACTTAAATAGGGGCAGCTGTTGTACCCCAATTTTTGACCTAAGATCCCATTTTTATTTTTGCATTTTTAAAGATAAGTCAAGGTCACGAAATACGGTCGGTTTTAACGTCTCACCTTCGAGCTTTGACTATGCTAAGATTGTCAAGTGTTTTGAACATTTTTAGCATATGTATCACTAATTTCTAATCGCATACAAAGGTGTATGTTCATGCCCTTTTGTGTCATGTGCAGAGACAGGTCTGAATCAAGAGCATCAGGTGTCGTGCCTCAATTAAGGTTTTGAGTCTCCCAAACCAAAAGTACGGTTGATTATGGATTCTCGAAGACTGATTCATCAAGGCACAACTGTTGCACCCTAGATTTCGCCCCTAACATGTTTTAGTCGCACTTTCATATCGTATTTTGTCATTTGGTCACAATCATTAGTAAATATCTTCATTCATCACATTTTGCATCATTAGTCGTATTTAAGTTGACCATGAAAAGTCAGTTTAAATCAAAGTTTGCGTCGTCTTTCAGTTGTAAAATACTTGACATTTCACTTCATGCATTTTTATCTCTTTGCTCGTTTCTCCAAGTTGTTTATATGTCGATAATAAAATATTTCGGTTTTATAGACAGACTGTTAAAAGTGATTCGACACTATGCGGGAAAGTAGCGAGAAAATATTTCAAGTTTTCACCTTTTACCGATCATTTTATGAATCTGCGCTTCGCGTAGATTATGACGGTATACTCGCTTTATTTTTCGGTACAGTTCGAAGTCTCGTTTTAACCTTAAACGTCTGTTTAGTCTGATATTTTTATTATTATTTTATTTTTGATTTTTGACTTTTTGAATATTGTTTTTCTTTAATCTTCGTGACATGTAGTTTATTTTAATGTGTTCATTTTATTTTACCGGATAAATTTTCGTCCATTTTTTTTTATCGTTTTCGGTCATTTTATGCCTTTATTTTTAATTCAGAAAAAATTCAAAAAAAACTATTTTTAATTGAGTTAATTTTATACTTTTAGGTTTTTAAGTTATTTTTATCATTAAAGGGCTTTTCTGTCATAAAAATGTTTGTTACACTTTGCTTTGCTCTCATTGGTTGTAAGCAAGAATTGAGGATCGATACACACACAATACTCTATTCCTATTGGCTGTTGGATGAAATTGAGGATTGATAAAAAATCACTAAAACACAACTCACTTTTCTCTCACTATCTAGCAAAATTACTCTCTCTCTCCACTACCATTCACAAAAAACAACAACAAAAACTAACACAGTAATTAACTCCCATTGGATGAATGTAAACAAAAATTCCCTTCTTCTCTTTCACGCATAACCCATACTCCCTCTTTCTCACCAATCTCCATCTACCATCACCTTTCGTCTACCTTTGCAAAAACCGTAACTCCCCCCTCTTCGCCTGAACCCAACAACAATAACAACAACACCCTTCATTGTTTCATCCACTAACTCCATTTCCCAATCTCAAAATCGAACCCACCACAACCCTCTTCATCTTCGTCACAATCTCCACACCCCCCATAATCAAATTACACTAATACCCTTCCATAAACACAAAAATGAAGCTCTCAAATCGAATGTTCACAATAGCTTTAATCTCATCATGGTACACATCAAACATTGGCGTACTCTTACTCAACAAGTACCTCCTGAGCAACTACGGATTCAAGTACCCAATCTTCCTAACCATGTTCCACATGACAGCTTGTTCGTTGTTCAGCTACGTTGCGATTGCGTGGCTCAAAATGGTCCCAATGCGAACGAGTCGGTCTCGGCTTCAGTTTTTTAAAGATCGCTACTCTCAGTTTGGTTTTCTGTGTTTCGGTTGTGTTTGGGAATGTGTCGTTGAGGTACTCGGAAATGCTAAAGGCGCTGTAGCAGTTGTAGTTCCGATTCTGATATTTAGAAATCCAGTTTCAGTCACCGGAATGATGGGTTATTCACTTACAGTCCTCGGAGTTGTTCTTTACAGCGAAGCCAAAAAGCGAAGCAAGTGATTCTGATACAAATTCCCCAATGTTTTCGTCGCCGCCTTGGTCAACCCCAAGATCCACCAATTTGGTCCGAGATAATGCGCTTCTTTTCCAACCCACGCAAACCTGTGATACTCGCTCTTGCCAGGCCAGATCCTAAAAAGAACATCACAACTTTGGTGAAAGCGTTTGGAGAATGCCGTCCTCTTAGAGAGCTTGCTAACCTTACATTAATTATGGGTAACCGAGACGAAATTGATGAAATGTCAAGCACAATTTCTTCTGTTCTTCTCTCAGTACTTAAGCTGATTGACAAGTATGATCTGCACGGGCAGAAGAGGCAGCCGAGGCAGCTGCTCGGAAGTTAACAGAAGCCGCATTTAATCGCGATCCAGCTAGCAGTCAGCATGCATGACGAGTAGACAAAGAAAAACACACAAACATGTGTTTGGTTTATTGAGGGAAGAGAACAACACAAAAGCGTACACAGGCTGTATGCAAGAGGTGGCATGTGTTGCTTGGTAATAAAGAGAGGTTTTTTTTACTAATAGGAAGCAATTCGGTTTGAAAGATCCCTGGCTTTTTGTATTTGCTCACCATAAGTGCACCGGAAAGATTCAATGGCAGGTTCTTGATTTAATTCACTTTCCTTTTATTCTTTCTAATTAATATTGTTGAATTGAAATTAATATGGTGTGTTGTTGTTAACATGATTGTATTAATGTTGAAACTCTGTTGAAGATAAATGGGGTTTATACTTGTTTCACTAATTGATGATGATTTTGATTGGTTGTGTTTGATTTTTGAATCGGTTTTTGAGATGTTCAAATGAATTGATAATATTAGAAAAGAAAAGTGAAGTGGTGATGTGTTTCTTTTCTTTTAAATGGTAGAGTTTTGAAACAATTGTGTAAAAATGGATGTGATGACATTGTTATTCCTATTTGTTATTAATTTGTGCTAGATATCTGAGCTGAGCCGTTAGTGTTGTTGGTTAAACAATAGCATGTTTATGCTAATGGTTAGTTAATTGCGATGAATTTTCGTTGCTTCCCGGATTTGGTTAGATTGACTTTAGTTCGCTTTGAGCTCAACTTTCCATGTTTTGAATATTGGATTGAATAATAGCATGAGTTTCTTTGGTTTTAGTTCATTTGTGAATTGAAATACTTGAATAATTGATTGTTTGGATGCATTCATGCAATTTCATTTCGATTTATACTTTGTTATTACCAACACATGTTCTATTTGTTGCAATTTCATTTGATTTTATTTTTTATACTTCGTGACTACTAACACATGTTTTAATTGTTGCAATTTCATTTTTATATCTTTTATGCTACTAACAAGTTTGTTTACTGTGAAGGTTTCCGAGAACTGTTTCAGGCGTTCGTTCTCGCATAGCGCATTTATACTTTTTCTTTATTCCCTTTTTACCTTACTATTTTGATTTAATATTTAGTACTGTAAATATATACTTGTACATAATATTTTGACTGTATATTTTACTTGTAAATAAATTCATGTTCTGAAAATATTACTTTCATCGCATTGTGATTTTATTTTTTACTAACTTCTGAAAATTGTACGGACGCACATAAGTTTTCCCGTGCTGTTAGTTTTGCCTGTATATTTCATGTGATGCAGGGAATCTTATACCGTGAGCTTTTTCCACCGCCTTTGCGCTTTATCTGATGCTTGGAGTATTATCTCACATTAGGTTTTTTCGATGATGCTGTCGGCTTGTGATTTATTTTCACCTAAGGTTTGATATACTCTTAGCTTATTTATCCGTCTATGGTTTTAACTCCAAGGAAAAGATTTAAATTTTGTTGACTTCACGTCATCAAATACATCTCATCCGATCGTGCGAATACCTTTTTTCATTTTTTTTTTGTTTACTATTTTGCTAAACTCAAGATAATTTTCCCAAAAGACTCCATTTTCAAACTCACACCCCTTTTAAGTCAAAACTTCAACATTAGGTCGTCGTATCTTCAAAATCTCATCCATACCCATTTTAATCAAACAAACAATTTTAACCAAAAAAACAGATATTTCAAAAGGTTCCTGCGGAGTACCGCAGATGCATTGGGTGCTAATACCTTCCCATTGTATAACCAACCCCCGAACTCTCGATCTCTTTTCAAAATGCATTGTATTTTCATTACTTTTAAGTATTATTATACATTGCATATTTTAGGGTTTTATTTCGCTCTTTTCCCTTTTCCCTTGGAAATAATAAAGCGCGGCGGCGACTCTTGCTTTTGCGAGTCGAGTTAATTAATAGCTCGATCTCCGATTTTCACCGCTACACCCGGTAGGGGCCTTCCCAGTTCAGAGACAACTTTCCTTTATTCTTAGGATCAGTGATCTTTTTGAGGACTAGATCTCTTAGTTGAAAACCTCTCTGTCTGACTTTCAAATTGAGCTTCTTGGCTAATCTTCTCTTGACCGTAAACCCTTTGACCCGTGCCATTTCTCGGATTTCATCTACCATATCAGCCAAACTGTTCAATTCGTCCTTGTTGGCTTCTTCGTTGAAGTGCTCCCTTCTCTAAGTAGAGGTATTGATCTCGACCAGTATCATGGCGTCTGCGCCGTACACCATTCGGAAAGGTGTTTCTCGAGTAGTGGAATATGGGGTTGTGTGGTATGATCAAAGGATCTCCGGTAAGTATTCGGCCCATATCCCCTTTGCGTCATCTAGCTTATTTTTCATTCCTGTCAAAATGATCTTGTTGGCCGCTTCAGCATGATTGTTGGCTTTAGGGTGTTCCACTGATGTTAACATGTTCTAGATACCAAAATCACTGTAGAATTCTACCACGGTCGAGCTTGCAAATCGTGTCCCGTTGTCAGACACTATGATTCTGGGTAGCCCGAACCTGCAAATAATGTTTTTCTAATAAAAGTGGCGTACCCTCTCGGCGGTAATGCGTCCCATAACCTCGGCTTTCACCAATTTTTTGAAGTAGTCAACGACCATAATGATACATTTTAATTATCCTAGAGCTATGGGGAATGGTCCTAGTATGTATGCTCCCCATTGGTAGAATGGCCATGGGGAAAATGGAGTGCAGTAACTTGGTGGGGGAGTGTATGAGTGGTGAGTATACCTGACATTTGTCACACTTGCTTACAAATTTGAAGCAGTCTTGTAACTTTTGAGGTCAATAGTACACGGCTCGGAGTATCTTCCCGGACAGGGCTCTTCCTCTGATGTGGCTTCCACATGCCCCTTAGTGGACTTATCTCATCATTAAGGTAACCTTTGCTTCTGCCACACATCTCAGCATGGGTATGGATCTTCCCATTTTGTATAATTTTCCAGACACTATCAAGTAGTGGGTGGATACCTTCTTTATGCACCGAGCTTCATTGGTGTCTTTGGGCAGGATTCCCCGTGTTAGATATTGAATTATAGGGGCCATCTAGTCGGTGATATGCTCAATTGACATGGCCTATTCCTGCTTGATGCTTGGCCTTTATAAGATTTCATGTATTACTATTTTATTTAAACTTGGTCCCTTGGTACTGGCGAGCTGGGATAGCACGTCGGCTCGTATGTTCTCTTCCCTTTGGATGTGGTTAACCTCAAATTCTGTGAAGGCTTTCGACATCTCTTGCACCATCTGGATATATCTCAGCAGTGTTGAGTCCATCATTTGATACTCCCATTTCATCTGCCCTGCAATCAATTGAGAATCAGTGTTAGCGGTTAAGTGGGAGACTCCTACCTCATTATCCAGTTTCATCCATGCTATGAGGGCCTCGTATTCCGCCTGATTATTTCTGGCCTAGAAGTTTAAGCTTAAGGAGTATTCTAATACAAAGTTTTCGGGTCCCTCAAGGACGACCCCGACCCCGCTTCCTTTGAGGTTGGATGAACCATTAACGTGAAGAGTCTATTTTCTCGTATTCTCTTCGGGAAATGGGCACTTAGTTCCACTACAAAGTCGGCTAGTGTATGTGATTTGTTGGCGGTTCTCAAGGTGAACTTGATGTCATATTCCAACAAATATATAGCGCACATGACCATCCTTCCAGCTAGATCTGGCTTATTCAGTATCTGCTTGATGGGGTTATTAGTCCTCACGATTATTGGATGACCCTTAAAGTAATGTCATAATTTTTTGTCTGTCATAACCAATGCTAGTGCCAGTTTATCAATCTTCTGGTATCCCAACTCAGCTTCTTTCAGGACCTTGCTAACGAATTACATTGGTCTTTCCCCCTTTTCCCCTTCCTAGACGAGTACTGAGCTCATAGCTTTCTCAAAATCCGCCAGGTATAGGATCATGGGTGCATTAACTTCTGGTCTTATCAAGATTGGTGGAGAGGACAAGAAGAATTTTACTCTTTGAAAGTCTTCCTCGCATGCTGCCGTCAATTCGAATTCCTCATACTTCCCGAGGGCTGCAAAGAAGTGGGTCGCCCTGTCCCTAGAGCATGATAAGAATCAGGATAAAGCGGATAATCTTCCTATTAGTTGTTGTACCTCACTTTTGAAGATGGACTGCGTATGTCTATGATTGCCTGACACTTGTCCATATTGGCTTCTATCCCATGGTTAGTGAGCATGAACCCTAAGAACTTGTCGGCTTAAACCCCAAAGATACATTTATTTGGGTTGAGTCTCGTTTCGTATTGTCTTATGGATGCAAAAGTTTCTTTTAAGTCTGTTACATGTTGTTTTCCAACAGTGGTTTTGACGACCATGTCGTCTATGTACACCTCTAGGTTCCTTCCGATTTGAGTGGCGAGCACCTTATCCATTAACCGTTGGTAGGTGGCTCCAACATTTTTGAGACCAAATGACATCACTTTATAATAGTAATTGCTCCTGTCTGTCATGAAGGCAGTCTTCGATGCATCTGGCGGGCTCATATGGACTTGATTATAACTCGAGTAGGAATCCATGAAGCTGAGCAGCTTGTACCCTGAGGTTTCATTAATGAGTCGATCTATTTATGGAAACGTGAATGGATCCTTGGGACATGCTTTGTTGAGATCCGTGAAGTCAATGCACAAGCACCACTTTCCTATTTTCTTTTTTACCATTACCATGTTGGCCATCCAGGTAGGGTATATGACATCTTTGATGAAGCTGGCATCGAGTAATTTCTCGACCTCGTCTTTTATGGCCTTCTTCTTCTCTTCTCCACCTTTCCTCTTCCTCTGAGATACCGATTTGGTATCCAGATTCAAGGTCAGGTGGTGGCACATGAAGTTGGGGTCTGTCCCGAGCATATTTGAAGGCTTCCAAGCAAACAATTCTATGTTTCCTTTCAATAGCTCCACGATCTCTGTTTCTTCTTCTCAGGAAAGATTTCATCCTATGTAAGTTATCTTGGAGGGCACGATG